GTCTCTATGTGTGGTCCTGTGATGGACTTGCGACCTGTCCAGGGTGTACCCCGCCCCTCGCACTGTGACTGCTGGATATGGGCACCAGTGACCCACGCAACCCTGAAAAGGAAGAAGCGTGTACAGAAAATGGATGGATGGATGGCAAAGCTTCTTGTTTTAAGTGTTTCTGTTCACTTGTGCTTCGGTAGAGCACTAGTTTGAAAATGCACTATTTCCTTTCAAAAGTATCACAGTTTCTGGAGGACTTTTGTTTTATAAAACATCTATATTTTGGAATACAGAAGCGTCATGCATTCACACAGCTTTTATTAGACATGAACCATCAGGTCGATTCTTGTAATCATAAAAACTTCATTTTAAACACCACTAACAGAATGTTTGATGTGACGATTATCACAACAAAGGGTGTCTTCCAGGGTCACTGATCCATTTTGATGAAATAAATACCTGCTAATATTTACACAAAACAGAAAATACACCTCAATGGCCTAAATATGTTAAAAAACAAAAGCTATAAAGCATATTAGTTCTGAGCACTTCAGTAGAGCTGTTGCCTTTTTTTGGGTTGTGAAAAACAGTGTTGCATGCTCATACTAAGTCACTTTTGATAAATTACAACAAGCCAACTGAACTGAGACAGGAGCAAAGGCTGATGCTATACGTGTTGCTGAGGACTAAAGAGCTGCTGGTTCATTAAGAAAAATAAATTGAGGGTTTGAACTTGTAGAAACACTCCTCCTCCTCCTGCTCATTTATAAAGTTCTACCACAACTTTTGCCTTTCAGAAAAAAGTTCTTCTGGTTGAAATTTCAGCTGAAAGGAGATGGCCTCGTTTTTCCCTGTGATTTCCAGGGCTGCCATTTGGATTTCTCCCAAGTAGGTTTGCTTTTGATGCTACTAAAAATATGTTTATTTGAGGCAACAGTTGCGCAAGCAGTCGTCAGGTCAGGGGTGCGTGGATTATTTTAAGAAAGCACTTTTAGGACTTTTATATTTAGCTCGAACGTTTGCAATTCACAAGCAATTCAAAATGAAAAAAGAAAACATTCCCTTTATAAGAAAAACAAACATAAAACCAGAGCTAATATTAAAGAAGAGTTCATCTTTTTATCACCTTCTGGTTGTCCAGAGCTGTAAATGTTTTGAGTGACTGACCCAAATACAACATTTCCATTTGTTCGTTATAGGATTCTGTTGATTATGTGTAATCACAGTGACTGAACCCACCTTGAGGTGTATTTAAAGTTGCAGCCAACATATGTAAAGTTACACCAGCCATGAAGTCCCATTGCATCGGATTGCATCATGTTAAATAAATATGGGATGATCTGAAAAGTTTATTTTTAAAATATATTCTTTTCTCATTCGTGTGGGAAATAATATTCTACAAGGCCTGTAAACAACATTTGTAGGCATCTGCCATAGTGTTAAATTTACAGATATGTTAACAGAATTAACAGCCTCAGAAAGATAAATATTCCTGTGTGACAACAGCGTTTAACCTTGAAGATAAACATTAAACAAAGTATTTTAATGAAACTTCTTTTCAGTAAGAGACTTCTACATTTTGCTTCTTGTGTCTAAAAAGTAGAGCAGTCTCTCAATGCTGGTCTGGGGCCTCTGGAGGGCAGAAATATGGTGGAAAAAATATGACCTCCATTCATTACCAAACCAAAGGAGTCCTTCAAAATTTTTATGTTGTAATGTGTACTTCATATTTTTGATCTAAAATTTATTTGACAATATTTATTTCTGCAGCTGACCAATTTCAAGTCTCCCCCACACAAATAGAGCAATGCAGTTTTACCAAGCCTCAGTTTATTTACTGAATAATTCACTCATATTTTCTTTTAGTCCAGTCAATTTTACAAATGAAGTTGGCGATGCTCCCCAAAAGTATTTGAGCAATTAGATATATCCAAAATGGCAACGGAAGAAGCTAAAATGATTTCACTGTTATTGCTTTTCGATAGCCTCATCAACAAAAGAGAAATGCACTTGAGAGCAAAACATAATAAGACAAGGGCACTTGTGGCCAGCTTTCAGTCAATAATACAGACATAATAGCAAACTCTGTCTTATGAATCAAATCAGAATGACACAAGTAATGGTGCTGGTGCAAACTATTGTGAAAATAGATCATGCTACGTCTAAAATCTTCTTCAATTAGATTTTTCAGAGGCTACCACTTCAAGAGTAACAACACAAACTTGCCTCAAATGACACATTAATGGGAGCTGATGGAAATATTTCATCACTCAGATTTTACAGGAAGTTTGGAGGCTTCATGTCAGCGTTGTCCTGCAACACTGAAATGATAATACCTGTGGTCTTTTGTATATTTGTTTTCCAGGCACACAGTTAAATTATATACCACAAAAAGTAACTGTTACCTTCAGTTGCTCAAAAATAGCTGTACATATCAAAAATAAATTTTACTTTGCATCATAGTCTATCTAAATACCATCAAATTGTCCTTTCTCTTTAAGAGCCTTCTGCAATTTTCAAGGCATCTTCACAACAATGTTTCACACCGTTTATAACCTTTTGTAGGAGTGTTTGTATTTTCTTGTTAAAAAAACCATATACAGTGGTTTGCAAAAGTATTCATACCCCTTGAACTTTTCCATATTTTGTCACATTACAACCACAAACATAAATATATTTCACTGGAATTTAATGTGAAAGACCAACACAAAGTGGTATACAATTGTGAAGTGGAAGCAAAATTTTACATGAATCAAAACATTTTTTACAAATAAAAAACTGAAAAGTGCGATGTGCAAAATTATTCAGCCCCCCCTGAGTCAATACTTTGTGGAGCCACCTTTTGCTGCAATTACAGCTGCAAGTCTTTTAGGGTATGTCTCCACCAGCTTTGCACATCTAGTGACTGCAATTCTTGCCCATTCCTCCTTGCAAAACAGCTCAAGCTCAGTCAGATTGGATGGAGAGCGTTTGTGAACAGCAGTTTTGAGATCTTGCCACAAATTCTCAATTGGGTTTAGGTCTGGACTTTGACTGGGCCATTCTAACACATGAATATTCTTTTTTTTAAACCACTCCATTGTAGCTTTGGCTTTATGTTTAGGGTCGTTGTCCTGCTGGAAGGTGAACCTCCGCCCCAGTCTCAAATCTTTTGCTGACTCCAACAGGTTTTCTTCCAAGATTGCCCTGTATTTGGCTCCATCCATCTTCCCATCAACTTTGACCAACTTCCCGGTCCCTGCTGAAGAGAAGCACCCCCAGAGCATGATGCTGCCACCACCATATTTGACAGTGGGGATGGTGTTTTCAGAGTGATGTGCAGTGTTCTTTCTCCGCCACACATAGCGTTTTGCATTGTGGCCAAAAAGTTCAATTTTGGTCTCGTCTGACCAAAGCACCTTCTTCCACATGTTTGCTGTGTCCTCAACATGGCTTCTGGCAAACTGCAAACGGGACTTCTTATGGTTTTCTTTTAACAATGGCTTTCTCCTTGCCACTCTTCCATAAAGACCACATTTGTGTAGTGCACGACTAATTGTTGTCCTGTGGACAGTTTCCCCCACCTGAGCTGTGGCTCTCTGCATTTCATCCAGAGTCACCATGGGCCTCTTGGCTGCCTCTCTGATCAGTGATCTCCTTGTTCGGCCTGTAAGTTTAGGTGGACGGCCTTGTCTTGGCAGGTTTACTGTGGTGCCATACTCTTTCCATTTCCGGATGATGGATTGAACAGTGCTCCGTGAGATGTTCAAAGCTTGGGAAATCTTTTTATAACCTAAGCCTGCTTTAAACTTCTCCAAAACCATATTCCTAACCTGTCTGGTGTGTTCTTTGGTCTTCATGATGCTGTTTGCTCCCCAATATTCTCTTAACCAACATCTGAGGCCGTCACGGAGCAGCTGTATTTGTACTGAGATTAGATTACACACAGGTGGACCCTTTTGAGTCATTAGCAGTCATCAGGCAACTTCTGAATGCAATTGGTTGCACTCAGGGAAAAGGGGGCTGAATACTTTTGCACGTCGCACTTTTCAGTTTTTTATTTGTAAAAAATGTTTTGATTCATGTAAAATTTTGCTTCCACTTCACAATTGTATACCACTTTGTGTTGGTCTTTCACATTAAATTCCAGTGAAATATATTTATGTTTGTGGTTGTAATGTGACAAAATATGGAAAAGTTCAAGGGGTATGAATACTTTTGCAAACCACTGTACATAGCCATATATATATATATATATATATATATATATATATACACAGTATATTTCTGAAGAACTGGAGTGAATACAGAAAGTCTTATAAGACATTTCAGTCATTTTCTCATACATGTATGTCATTGTTAAGCTACTTTTTGCAAAGAAATTATAAATTTAGATCATTATGATTACGTTTTGCAATGAAACCATGACCGTCCACCATTTTAAAAATACACTTTGCTAGTTCAGTGGAGCTGCATGGAGGGAGGCGTGGAGGAGGGGTGCTCGAGACAGGAGCTCTGTTGGGGATTGAGCTCCAGGGAGGAGCTTTGGGTAAATAGGCGGTGCTTTGTAGCAGCATGCCTTTTGGCAGCTCTGAATGGCTACCACAGGAGATTCAAGGAATTCTCAAATATTCACGAATGAGTCAAAGCAACACTCTGGGCATGTGTTTGATGACATGATATAAAGCTAAAAAGGTCGATTTTGCATAATTACCCCACTTAAACAGCGAAGGCATTTGAATTTCTGACCCAAGACATGAACCTGATCAAATCTTTTTTGTTTGTTTTCTTTTTGACAAACACGCACATATAAATTAAACTTGTTCCTACTTAGTTTCAGTTTTCTTTTTGATAGCATATAATTAGTACAAGTATTGGGTTTCCCAACACTGACAGTGTCAGGCGAGCAGGTTAATTAGTATTGACTGGTGCAGAGCTCCTGTTAGAGCTCAGAGTCAACAAATGATGTCAACTACTTTACTTAATGGAAAAGGGGAGAAACACTAACATGGTTCCACTGCTGCACACATACATTGCAATACATTCTGAAGTTAAACACCAAGAGTGGGAACATGAAAACTGCTTTAATTAAGCAGAAAAACACATATACAGTAAATACATGCAGTAACTTGAAGACTTGACGAACACACTGCCTCTCTAATTAATCCCACACCTTGCAGCTATGATAGCTTTGGAAAGACTGGCAGCATAAAGTGTACATGTCAAGCTACATTAAGTTGTCTTCTGTATTTGAAAAACAACTGAAAGAGTAAACTGTTAAACAGTGAAACAGTCTAAATGGGAACAATTAAAGGATATTTTTGACTTCTGTGTAGGCATCTGTCTTTATAATGAATAAATTCTGAGACAACTCATTGTAGACAAAGCACTCAACATAAGATCCGAGCAATTAAGCTATGCAAATGGTGTAAACAGGAACTATATAGATTTACAGTTCATGAAGTCCCAAATGGGAAGATTTAAGGTTGTACTTTTCAGTAAGCTTCCAACCACATTACTTTGTTAGGGAAAAGATTTGCTTTTATTTCACCAAGGAGCCACCTCTTGATAGCTCACATAAAAAGTGGCTTTAAACTTCCTTTACTGATAACACTTGAAGACTTTTTAAACAGCAGCTAACACTAAAATTCACAGCAGTGTTGAACTCGATACCTCTCCCTTCTTAAAATAAACTGTGTTTGAAACTAAAATGACATATAAATTATTATTCCAGTAGCTAAAATATGACATTTTTATGGTAAACTATAGGTGGATTTGACGGCAAACATTTTGACTTGTAGCAGTAAGTGTATGAATAAGAGCTGCATTTTATTTAGTGAGGTTCTGCTTGTAAACATTTATTTATTTATTTATTTATTTATTTATTTATTTATTTATTTATTTATCTATCTATTTATCAATGATAAACACTACAAAGTTACTCAAAATTAATTACTAATTAAATTGTTTACACTCCATAAAATATGAAATATCATGATAATTCAAACAAATTATCTATTATCCAAAACATGTTTTTTGCATCACTCCAGCATCAATGAAACACTAGCTGTGTTTACATGGACATAAGTAATTGGATTAAATGGTCATTCGGAATAAAAATGCGTCATGTACGTAAACAGCCCATTCGGATTATTCTGACCCGATTCAGCTCGATCCGAATGAATTTGTAATCGGAATGAAAGAGGTGGTTTATGCCGATTGATAATCAGAACAATGTGCATTTAAACACTTAATCTGATCATTTTATTCTGATTGTGGAAAACTGACATCTGTGCATGTCTGCTGACTTTCATCCACTGGTTTCTGCTCTTTTGAGGAGGGAGGAGAGGCAGCGCTGTAGTTTTCAGAAGCACAGAACTTTGCTCCTGTTCTCTCATTCAATAAAGAAGGAAGACACACAGCCTGCACCACTTCGCAAAAAAAAAAATAAATAAATAAAAAGTATGCACATCACCTGCAGCTCAACCAGGCCAGGGAGTGCAGTAACATCTCCACCATTATTAAAAGCTGTCGCAGGTCCATTTTGAGCGCTCAGACGCTGTTTGTTTATGTTCATGATGAAAGTAGAACTTTTTTCTGTGTTTTTTTGTTTTTGTTTTTGTTTTGGGAAAGTTAGCAACTGTGCATGTCAGTGCTTCTATTCTGAATAAAAGTCTGGTGCATGTAAACACTCGTCATGATCGGATTTTGCCCATGTAAACAATTCAATCCGATTATTTAATCTGAATACATTTCAATCCGATCAAAGAATTTTGCACATGTAAACATTGCTACTATTAGAACCACTGGTTTCCTGAGCCTGATGCCAACATTTTTACAAGTACTCATATTTGATACTCAATACTGATACCAATACTGATTTAGATACCAGATTTGATACTGTGCCGTTACTCCATGAAATGTGTTACAGTTTACATTTCAAATGCAGTTTGTCAGTTCCAAGTTTAAGAAATATATACGTTGAAAGAAAATCTTATTTGCTATTTTATTTATTTTAAAATGTTGCAACAGTATCCAGAGGTGTATAAAGTACTTGAATAAAATAATTAGGTAAAAGTAAAAATACCTGAACAGAAAATGGGTTAGGAAAAAAGAATTTCGTGAATAAGAAAAGTACTTATGTAAAAGTCATGAAACCGCTCACAATAATCGAGAAAGTAAGTAAGAACACTTTTACACACACTAAAAATGAAGTGTTGAATTTCCAGGTTGTGCCAACTGGCTCCAATAAACTGAGTTGAGTTCATTTACTCACTCAAAATACTTGGTAAAATTGCAGATCCTCCAAACAATTACTTACATACTGTATTGAAGAAAATATATAAATGTACTTCGTTATTATACAACTCTGCATATATCATGCTGTATATTTGATCTGATCCAGTCAGAGGGGCTGTAGGCCTATAAAGAAGGAGAGTCACCTTGTTCTAAATAAAACAAATATGTTTATAAAATCATTGTGTAATGTTTAAGTTCTAACTCAGTACCCAGTAGCAGTACTCGGTATCGGTAAGTACCCAAATGTGAGAACTCATACGTATATTTTTATAGAACATAATTTTTTTAGATGAATGCAAAGGAGAGCAACACATCCTCACCTTCATAGAAGATTTTGAAGCCACTGTTTGATCGACTGTTGTCAGTGGTGAACAGCAGATACAGAAAGTTTGTGCTACTGAACAGAAACTGGGGGACCTGAGTTCCATTGAATGAACCAATCAGAGGTGAGAGTAGGTTTGGGCCATCGTGCACTTCCAGGAAGTCATAACTGAGCTCCGTTTGAAACCTTGAAAGGCGGGTGTGTGGGGGGGGGATAGAAAACAAAAAGATGAATTGTAGATTTAGAAACACATTTGTATTCCGAAGAGAAAACATTAATTTTGTGAAGAAAGATGAGAAGACATAACTTGCACAGCAATCATGCTAATTATTGCAGAAGCATAAGATCAATGAACATCTTGGAAATATGACATGATGTGAATCTGTGGCCAGCCTTTGGTCTCTTACATCAAACAACTGCCATTAGCACAGAGTTTCAACAAAACTAATCAATATTATTGAAATAAAAAACTCACTTCAGACAACTTCACACTGCAAACCATGCTGTGGTGCATCATTAATACAAGACTGTGTGTGTGTATTTCCTTTGCACAAAGCGTTGATTAACTAGGTTTATGACAACTTGAGCCCATTTTAAATTTAGGAAGATAAAGATAGGTTCATGACAAATTAATCACCAAAAAACAAAGAAAAATCAATTTAAATATAAATTACCAAAATAATAATTATGCAGCTTTCATGGGAAGTTTTCAACACATTTATTAGTTAGACTTTGAACTGACTCTTCTGAGGTTCACAGAAAGAAATGGTACGGTATGAGTATATGTCCATGAGTGCTTACTTCTGTGAAGATGTGTGTGTCTGTGTGTTTTCCTAAAATACTCTGGTGTGCGATCAGCCTCTGTATGTCTTTGTGGGAGTGTGTCTTTGTTTTCATGGCTGAGTTGTTTCAGTAGTGTCATACAGACCTGTCAAAGCTAATCTTGATGGAGCGTCCCGGCTCAGCCTCAATGACCCACTCACAACTCAGGGAGTCTTTGTAGTAGCCTGGCCACCCCGGGGAGAGAATGACACCAGACGGGCCTGAGTAGTGCCCCCCACAAGGAGCTGGAGGAGAAGAGAAGATAGATTTTTCTTTAAATGATGGAGAACATTGAGAGGTAAGAAGAAAAAAACAAACAACAAATGCTTTCAAGATGATAGAGGATTTATGTGCTTACATGAAAGATAAAATAAATGGACAAGAATTAAAGAAAAAAAAACTGAAGCAAACCTGCAGGAGGAGTGATCACAGAACTACAGTTACACAGATTAATGAAATGTGAAGTTTTGTTATGGTGGGGTGCTGCAACCCAATCAAACTCTTTCTTGTTATCCTAATAATTGTGCCAATTTTGGACTGTATTTTCCTCTTCTGGCAATCTTAAGGATATTCAGACTATCATGATGGCCCTCAGTATATTTTTTAGAGATATTCCTGCTACGTGTGGTGTGTTATCTAGTCGGCTTGTAAGGACATCGGGACAGCTTTGATCTCAAATCGGAGATATACAACATGTTGGATTGTCTTTGCTCGATATCCCAGTGTGTATGGCGTCCCCCGAGGACAAAGGAGCTCGCAGCCTGTTGAATGTGACATGTGGCCAATCAGAAAGCAAGGTGAGTGAAACAGGAAAACAGACAGAAACAACTGCCATGGTGCATCCCGTGGTGAGTCCGGTGGATGTCGGAGACGTCTTTTTGTTTTGTTCTCTGTTTAAAATGATCTACAAACTCTCGCCATTGTTCCTTCCTTGTCTGCCATGTTTAATTACTCTGAGGTCATGTTTGATCTCGAGAGTTCCCGCGAGATTTACCATCTGACATCTGAATGTTTGTGAGCGAAATCTGTTTGTGTGGTGTGTTGTCTCTGCAGTGTGGCTGTACACCACACACTCTAGGACCAAACCTGTTATGGCTATGATTATCATGTGTGGGGTGTCAAATTTTGGGGAAACAAAAATCCATTGACAACTTTAAAATATTGCTGTGTGAACCAGGCATAATTTAACTGTTGACTTCTCTTTTCCCACATTTGCACACCTTTCTGTTTTTAGTACCTTCACATTTGGGAATGAGTCCGCTCCACATCACCTTCCCCTCCTCTAGATGGCACGTAATGGTGTCGGCTCCCTGTGTCTTGATGAAGCCCTCCTCACAAACCACAGAGATGGAGCTGCCCAGCTGGAAACTGTCCCCAAAGCGCCGGCCATTCAAAGGTATACCGGGGTCAGGGCACTCGTTATGTCCAAAAGCTTACGACAGAAAAAAGGAAAATGAGATCTCAAGTCAAACACAATGAAGAAAAAACAAACAAACAAACACAATGAAACACTGGGTTTCTGAGCAGAGATGCATCAGAGAAATACATGTCTATAAAGAATTGTAAAGATGTTACCACAAAATAATGAGTAAACTACAATACAGTAACTGTGTGGTTTGCAATAAGGAGAAGTAGACATTTTCTTTGCTGTTCAAAAATTAGTTTGTTTATTACGACACAATCACTGAAGCATTTTAGTTTTATACATAAAGTGGTGTGCCCAAATTCATTTGTCTAATGCGTACCTATCATTTCTCAGCAATAATCCTAGGATGTCATAATCATTTCAGCTGTGAAGTCAGTTTTGGAACTATGCATTCAGGATTTTGTATTTGCTAGTTTAGCTGTTCACAAAATCATATTTTTAACCAAATTCCAGTTCTAGTAGTAGGATTATGTTGAAAGTTTAAAGCACAGTTACTATTTTATTCTGCTTTAGACAGCTCGGTGAGCAGCCTCAATTTAGAGATAGAGTTCAATTCTGACCAGACTTGATGAGCTAGTAGCTAATATTTAAGAGACGAGACCAAAGTGGATTGCTTCTGACTTAAAACAATTCAAACAGTCTTTATTGGTTCATGCAAACACTATTTTTTAAACCTTTATATCAGCATCAGTTTTTAGTTAACTGTTATTTCAGCACAAGTATCACGACCTTCTGGAAAGATGTGGTAAAGCACACTGATGCTGTTGCTATTTGCCCATGAAAATCACAAAAAATATATTTATAAATAACCGTTGTTTGTGAAACATTCTGGTTTGTGGGACTGAAGTAGATTTATCAAGGCCATAATTAACTTTGGTCTTCTTGGCCAACACTCAGACTAGCATTTAGCACATAAAGCCGGTGAAAACTCATTTGCCTTTCTATGAACTGAGGTCATTTAAACAGCTTTCGACAACAGATAAGATTTGAACTGTTCATAACCTTCCTCAAAGAATAATTTAAAAAGTTTTGTGTTATCCCATTTCATTTGCAATATTGGTCTAAAACCTAAATTCTTTACTGTTTGAGAATTCAACCAACCCCATGAAAGACTGTAGCAGTTTAACGTGTGAACCCCTCACTTTTGGCAGCTCCAAATCGTTGTTCAAAAAAGCAAGACTCAGATGTTTTATGGATGGGCATGGTTTAGACCTCCATTAATTCCTAATCAGTTGGGCAGGTAAAAGGTCTCAAGTTGTATTTGCATTTCAAAGCTGATGAAATGAACCCAAAATTGTTGCTGAGGCCAAAACCAAGTCTTCATCTATTCTGAGCACCCTGGTGAGGTTGGCAACATTAAAAAGGCTTGAGTTTCTATGAAAGACAACAGGATCTGCTACAAGAGGGAGAAAAAAAAGCCCTTCACAACACTCAGCCAAAAGCAGAATACGCTCCAGGGGGTAGTCATATATCATTATTCAAGTCTTCTATAAAAAGGAAACTTCACAAGAAACACCAAAGTGAATCCATCACAAGGTGCAAACTATTTATGAGCCCTGTGCCTCAAGAAAGGCTGGATAAGACTTTGCCCAAAAACATCTTAAAAAAGCTGAATCTATTCTGGAGAAGAATTCATTGAACAGCTGAAACTAAGATCAACTTGTACCTGAACAACAGCCAAAAGAAAAGCACAAAGAAGTGTGGTGACAATTCGAAGCAAAAATACATCATCTGTAAAACATGTGAAGCCAGTGGAATATTACAGATGTTAAAAAAAAACAGTGACACTGAGTCACTTTGTTTACTGATCATGTAACATTAGACATAAACTAGTTTGTGTTCCATCTTTGTTTGTATTTTTTTGGTAATACTACTACTTTTTTCCATTACTTTTCTTGTAAACTCCTTCTAAAAGGCAATGAAATTGAAAAGTTTAGATTGCACATTTCAATGGTGTTGAACAATAAATGTCACTCTAATCTCTTAACCCATGAGGACGTCACTAAATGCACATAGAATCTTCAGCAATATCTGAATGTTAGATCAGTTAAAACCCCAATTCTAACGAAGTTGGGACGTTGTGTAAAACATAACAGAATATGTTGATTTGGAAATCTTGTTCAACTTATATTCAATCAAATACACTACAAAGACAAGATATTTATGCTTAAACAAATAAATTTTATAGCCTTTTGCAAATATTCACTCATTTTTAATTTGATGCCTGCACATGTTCCAAAACAGCCTGGACAGGGGAAACTAAAGACTGGGAAATTTGAGGAATGCTCAAAAATCACAGGTGAGTGACATAATTGGGTATAAAGGGAGCATCCACGAAAGGCTCAGTCGTTCACAAGCAAGGAGGCGAGTTTCACCACTTTGTGAACCATTATGTAAGTTTTGCCTTAGGATGACTGGGTGGTATGGTAGCTGCACAGTCCAAGACAAAAAGGACATGCTACGGATGGTTGAAACTGCCCAGCGGATTGTGGGAGGTCAGCTACTGGACCTAGATTCAGTTTATGCTGGCAGACTGCAAAGATAAGCCAGTCATATAGCTGCTGATCCTACCAACCTGGGACATGAACTGTTTTTACACCGTGGCCTTCTGGGAAACCATACAGGAACATAAAGGCTACAGCCCACTGGCTGAGGGATAGCTTTTTCCCAAACGCGGAGAAACCCATCCATCCACTCCCTTTTCCTCTGCCCCCTTACAAACACACACACAGAGACTCAATAGATTACCTGCATACACATTTACACCCATTCACTGCACCTTAAAGTCTGCTAAAACCTTTAGCAGCAGGGTAACACACTTACTCTTGCTACCTGTCTACGCTGCTATTGTTGTTTTCACACTCAATTATTCATGTGCAATAACTACAAGTGCAATACTAACAACCAGTACAAACTGGTATATTTTTATTATTTTCTTCTTTTTTACTTTTTTACTATTATTTTGTTTAATTTTATTTTTTGTCACCCTGGGCACGACAGCAACTTTGTCATACCCTAGCAACATGGCAAATAAAAAGCTTATGTTCCAGCTTTGTTGGAACATGCGGACATTAAATATGAAATGAGTGAATATTTGAAAAAAAAAACAAATTTTATCTGTTTGAACATTAAATGTCTTGTCTTTGTAGTGTTGAAGAAATTTATTGGGGTTGTTCACTACTGACTTACACTACACATTGTATAGTTTTTTATTAGGTGAACAGTAATGTAGTTATATAATGTAGTTATGTTTGATTGAATTGATGATTTTAAGTAGGTAGATACCTGCCTGAACACAAATTCAACACATAGTTGATCATGGTTGATCGCCACTATGAGTACAGTATTATTTTTGTCTAGAGCATGACTCTTGAGAGTAGAAGACCCCTTCCTGATGGTGTAATGAAATAGGCAGGGTCATGCCTCGAAGCGCTCTGTCATATTGAAACTGTCGTCTCTGAAGCCACACAATAAACAGGCCATCAGAATACTCTGGTTCTGAATGATCTTAATTAGTCTTTTCCATGCATTGGTACATTCTCCGTATGGTTCAAGCACACAAACTGGTAAATGAACATGAATAACAATATTTTCTTTCAGTTAGGGCTGTGCTGTATATGCGGTAGACGGTAGAAACCATATAAAGTTGGCCTACGTTAGAAATTTATACTTTACCGTCCTATCGTCATTACGTCATTGCACCTGTGACAACATGGCTGCGAGGGCAGAGACAACTGAGCAGGAGTTCGAAAAATAATGAAGAAATTCTAGCGTATTAAAACACATATAGAGAGAATAAATCCTCAAAATTTCCTCCTCCCACTGTAGAAAAGTTACGTTGTGTCGCGGGATCATTTCCTCCCTCCCTCCCGCTGCACATCGCTCAGAGCGAAGCTTTTAACAACCATAGTTTTTCACATCCAATTGTCAGAGAAAAAAATGTTTTTTATGTATCGTTACCCACAGAGATTATTTTAAAAAAGACGTGGACTTTCGTTCAGTCATAAATCCATCTTGCTAATGTAAAGTCGGCTTCTGCTCTGATGAAGAAGATGATGAAGATGAGCACACATCAGAGCAGCTGATAAGTTCAACAGGCAGAAGCTCATTGTATAGCAGGTAGATGTTAAAGCAAAAATGCTGGGTTTGATCAAGATGACAGTTTTCTGCAAAAAATAAGCTCTAAAAATTACATTATCTTTACTTTTTATAATTTTCTACCGTGATATATACTGTTACCGTGAAGGGGTTCAATTTGTACCGTGATATGAATTTGAGGTCATACTGCCCAGCCCTACTTTCAGTGTATTCAACTGAATATAGGTTGAAAAGGATTTGCATGTCATCGTACTCTGTTTTTATTTATGTTTTACACAGCGTCCCAGCTTCATTGGAAATGGGGTTGTACTCACTGCTGTAGGTGATGTTGAATCCTCGTCCCGACATGGAGTGATCAGCTTGAAACTCCAGCTGCAGGACGTTGCTGTTGGAGGTCAGGTGGGAGGGAACCTCAGCCCCTGAGAAACGCCCCAGTATAGTGGCTCCTGATTGATCACCGTCTTTGATGGTAAGGAAATCGTAGGGAGGCTCCAGATCAAAGTCATTGAAGGCCAAATGAATCCTTGAGCCCGGTTCTGCGATGATCAGCCACACACAGTTGAGGTTGTTCCCGTAGCCCTCTGGGTAGTCAGGAGACAGGACCGTCCCCATGGGGGCGGTAAAGTTGGAGAAACAGGGGACTGCAGAACAAAATGGAAAAAAAAATGCATCACCTGTGATTTATAAAACTTCAATATCCCAAGTAAGGAGATTTTTTTTTTATTCACAGCAACTCTGTCTTCAAAACTCTCTAAAGGCTGCATTCTGCCTTAACAGAACTGCATACACCGATTCCTGAAGAACAATGTCACTGTTGTATAAGTAGCTCAGCAATCAGGAGACAGCACTGCTCCCATGGGGACAGAGCAGCTAGAGAAACATAAAACTGCTTTGGGGAATGGCCATATTTCAGTGCAGGTGCACAGGAATGCTGCACAGAGTCCCATTGGGTACACATGACATGGAAAAACAGCAGTCTCCATTTTTGTTATGAATATAAGTTAGCTCATTTAATGCTAAGCGTAGGAATGATGTCTGTCCTGACACAAAATGATGCACCGTATAATGCAGGCTGTCTTGTACACAGCACACCACCGGGAGCCCTGATTTCCTCTCTTTTAAGCCAAGCCTGAAACAACAAGCCATCCATATGCTATCCATTTCCCATTTTACATTTTCTAAACTGCTGGCTGTTTACAAACATCGGGCTGCATGTTCAATTAACAACACAGTAATTAATCCTCCCGTAGCTTGGTGACAATGTGAACTTTCCAAGAGTGTAAGTAATTGCTTTATTTACTGTCATGAAAAATGACTGTGTGGAACTCACATATGCAGATGGGGATATTAGCTGACCACTGATTGTTGTTTTGGCAGGTTATCATCCTCTCCCCGATGAGCTCGAATCCAAACTGGCATTCAAAGCGAAGAACGTCTCCATTTAAAAAACCACTGCCCTCCTGGTAGCCATAGAGAGGTGTGCCGGGGTCACCACAGCTCTCTTTGTCAATTTCTGTGGGAGAGCGGGGGGACGAGAAGAAGAGAGGGAGGAAAGGTGGGTGGGCGGGAATGTGTGTGAATATGAGAGGGAGGTAAAGCAGAGGATTAAATTAATAAAGTGCTTGAAGGTTTTTTTTTTCTACATTATCTCTAAAGGTCCAGTAGAAGAGTCTGAGATTTAGGTCGGGGAATTAATTTTAGAGGAAGACAGAGAGAAGAGGAAGAGAGAAAAAAAAAGGCAGCCTGGAAAATAGACTTGTTGCATTTGCGAACGACAGACACAGACAGACATGATTACAAAGTGTTGAAAGAGAATTGTTGTTATAGTCTGTGCACCTTTATAGTTGATCTTAAAGCCTATCGATCCCACACTCTCATCAGACTGGAGATGAAGCCACATCTGATGGGACATGCTTACAATCAGGTCTGGGACAAAGCTTCCGGTCAACCTGCAGAGAAAAAAAAAATAAAAATAACATTACCATAATAAACTAACAAACCAGAGGTCACCTCTTTCCACACTGAAATGCAGAAATGCAAGGTTTATTTTGCCTAAAAACTTCGCTGAAGTTAAAATCAAGTAGACAGTGTTCCAGATTGCAAAGAAAAAAACATAATAATAAAATAAAAATAAAAACAGATTTTTTTTATCATTAAAGCTTGATAGCAATACACTAGATCATATTATACACATACAACCATAGCAATATTTTCACAAATAGAGAATAATCAGTATTAATGTGTGACTAATTGGGTCACAAACTGTTAAAAAAACTAATGAATGTTTTTTTCCTGCAGTTATCATATTTTTAAGCACAAATCAGAGATGCGGCAAGTTAGTTCCTGTCCAAATAAGGCCAAACTCAGTAAAGTGAAGAATACTTACACTTGAATTATTGTCTTCGAGTCGCCTACTTCCCCTCCATCTCCAATAGTTAGTGAATCATACCCGATTTCCAAGTCGAACTCCTCAAAGTTGATTTGAATAACCTGTGGTCACATTAATTTAATCAAAGTCAATTTTCAGAATTTTCTAAGTATTATTCAGGTTGGTTGACATTAGGAGTAGTGAGTGTCTTACCTGTTGTAGACAGCAGTTAGAACAATTTTATGTCAGTGAATTAGTAAGATTTTTTACACTATTTAAAAATAACTTTGGCTGAAAGTTGTTTTGACTCGAAGCTACACAGATTAAATGCTTCTACACCTCATGAACTTTCAAAGCAAAATTATTGATCTTTTGTTGTCATTTTATCAATCAAGCAATATTCATGTTAGTACATGTGAATTGATATTAGCTGCCAGGAGTCATTCTGTGATCGTCCACTGCAAACTCTGCATTCTACAGATTGTAGCTCAAATGAAAGAGAGACAGCGTCTTCTTAAAATAGCTTTTAGCATTACCCATCTCTACTGTCCTGTTGTTTTAGGATTAGCACAGGGGAAATGAGCTGATCAGGGGTAGATTAAATTCAGCACCATGTGCAGACAGTTCACAGGACATACTGTAATTTAGCTGAAAAGATTGTGACAAATTAAATATAATATCATTGGTTGAAATAAGAGCAGAGTTGTAAAGTAAGTATAAATACTTTGTTACTGTACTTAAGTAGAAATTTTGGTTATCTGTACTTTACTTGAGTAATTATTTTTCAGCGTACTTTTTACTTTTACTCATTACATTTTTACACAATTATCTGTACTTTCTACTCACTACATTTTTAAAAAAGGTAAGAAGTATAAAGTCGTTACTCCTATTTTATTCTGAGTTGTTATTACTTAAAGAAAATACTATCCTGATAAATTGTGTCTCCTGAATCGAGTGAATTTAATTGTTGTTGGATGAGAAGTATAAATATATACCATCCTGACACCATATTAGCTTGTACACAATCCATCACAGCTGCACACTGTTAGAAAAAAATATTTTTTGGAGAAGTCACCTCCCAATAAATGTCATTTTGGAAAATCTAACAGCTCACTTTTACTCAGTACTTTTATTTTTAATACTTAAGTAGATTTTGTGTCAGAAATGTACTTTTGATACTTACGTACAAAAAAACATCAGATACTTTAAGACTTTTACTCAAGTAATATTTTTAGAGAAGACTTTAAGTTTTACCAAAATATTTTTATGATAAGATACTTGTACTTTTACTTAAGTATCACTTTGAGGTGAGTAAGATAAATTATTTAACACAGAATTTTGTTGAAATTGCTGGGAAATGTGAGTTTGAGCTTGCAGAAAGGCTGTTGATCTACGGTTCAGAAGTCTGTGTTGGCTTGACTCCTCTGTGAGTTTCTGTCTGATTCTCCAAACAGAGATCCTTCTGACTGCTGTCCACTGTAGTCAATTTACTCATACAGTATATCCAACACAAAACCACTGAAAACATCATTTAGACATAAAACAAATGTCCATTTAAACTTAACACAAAAGTAAGGAAATGTATAAATTTATCGGTTGTAACAATCCTTCATGGCAATAAATTGTATACCTTTCAAAATCAGTCTTTTCCAGTTTCTATACATCAAACATGAACGCATCATGTTTGATGAATCATGAATTAATCAAAACTGCATCCTAATGTTTTGCATTTGCTGTTGAAAGGCTTTTTCTTTACACTTACCAATGCCGAAGTGTTCGCTGCCAGCTTGAAAGTCAATCTTATTTGGAGTATTTATTTAAACATGCCAATCTTTCCCAATCACATGAACGGTTTTCTTAAATGAGTTTATGAATTTATTACCATAAAAAAAACACTCATTTCCATACATTCCCTGCTTCTGGAGATGGCTAAATGGTGAACATTTAGAACAAAAAGAAATTGTATAAATGCCACAAACATTTGCAGAGGCAGACAGTGAGATGTTTGATCAAGGAATGCTGTAAAGGCTTAAGACTTCCCTTAAACTTAAATTTCAGACAGCTGCATAATTATAGTCTAGTGCGGTACTTCAATGAATAATGCAGAAAACATCCATAAAATTCTAACTAACAAATACATGAAGAAATAAGAAACCAAACTCAAGTCACACACAATCAAAAAATGTCTCTAGAATAAGGATTTGACAACAGCTGAATTTCCATGCTATAAGCATCTGTACAAAGAAAAATAAATAAATGAAAACGTGCGTTAAAGCAATATATAAAATGAAAGCTCCATCACAAATCAAATTCCTAAAGTCACATTTAAGAGTTGCAATTTATTAATTGCCTGTCTGCATTTACCCTTGACATAGCTTTGTCAGCTGTCACTGCTAAATCTTTAACAAATGAACATGCTAAAAGCATCACAAAAGATGTCATTTTTAATGATCAAACTGGCAACAGCTGCTTCCGCCAATAATCATCATATTAATTTGAAACTACTGCAGAGACATTTGCCAATGAGCTACATTATCTTTGTCTGCAGTCTGCCTGGATAAGCGATGGCAGGAAGGATGTGCTTATGACATTAGTGTCACATCTGTTGATGACAAACACGAAGGCTGCTTGCTTGTCCTTAGCCTCCCTTTTTATGGCCAGGGGGAGGACAGTGTCTGCACAACATCTATGTAAAGCTGCCTCATTACAATGCACACAGAAAAAAAAAACACATAATTACCATAATAACACTAATGGACCAAGTTTCACTGCCAAGTCAAAGGCTTGTTTGCCTAGGAAAACACACAGTGGCACAAAGCTATGGCACTTGCCAGTCACAGCGAGTTTTGAATGAGTCTTCACTGTTTGGTTTTGGTTTATTAGCAGGGAACCCATTGATTGACACCCCTGTATATTTGCCTCTTTGCACCGAATACCAACAGAGTTGAATCTATGTACAAGTCTGCTTGTGACCATTAGGAACAGCTCCGACGTCTGCACTCTGGGGAAAAGCTGTTCTCATTCAGTAACTATTTCTTTTGTTAGCGCTGATGAATGAAGTGAGTCATTCAATTTCCAACAGTCGTGTCAAACAGGTAAGAACTGAAATAAAACCCACTGCAGCTATGTTTACTGATAAGAGACAGTGTTTGTGTTCTGGAGTCAGTATGCTTATTTAGTGCAACTTAAAGACACATTGGAAAGCAGGTGCATGCATACATATACCGTATATTTAAATATCAAATACCTACAGGACTGTTTTACAATGCAAAAAATGTGAAAATGTGAGCTGAACAGTAAAGGGCTCATTACAGTTTATCATTTAAATATATTTATGAATGACATGAAATTCTTCACTGTGTTGCTTTCTCAAATCTATAGTATTGTTTAGGGATTTATTGTTTATGGGGCGGCTGTGGCAGAGTGGTTTGGAAAGTTTTCCTGTAACTGGTGGGTTTGAACTAGCCTGGTAAAAATCAGACCCTTGTCCTTTTGCTTCGTACAAGGGTCTGGACTCACTGCTATAGAGAAGCAATTCTTGCAGGAGGCATGGCCTCTGCTGAAGTGTGTGTGTGTGTGTGTGTGTGTGTCACTGTGAAGGAGGCTAAGCTAAGAAGCTGAGCGGAAATTGCGTGCACTGTAAACAACCCTACTGAGAGGAGAAATATACCGAGCCGAACGAGACAACTGTGAATGAGAGCTGCTGCTTTGTCAGACAAATTTAATTTAATTTGGAAGCCTTGTCAACACAGACTGGCTTCATTCACTTCCTCCACTGCCGTATGCTAAAATAACTAGCAGACACTGCGCAGAAAATCAACGTCGTTCAAAACTCCGCCTTCTGTTTGCTGATTGGCCCAGGTAAAATAAACTACAAGCAGATACTGCGCAGAAAATTGACGTTCTGTTCTCTTTGATTGGTTCGGCTAAAAATCTGCCAGCGAAATCCTTGTCTATGGGAAAAATCCCAGACGGAGCAGTGAAGAGAAACTAGAATTGAGCGGAGCTGCATAGGAAGGCAAGGGCCAGGCTAGGTTTGAACCCCTGCCCCATCTTGTCTCAGTTGTTGTGTCCTTGGGCAAGACATTGCACACGCCTTGCCTGGGTGGTCAGAGGGTCTGATGGCGCCAGTGTATAGCAACCTTAGCTTTGTCAGTCTACCTCAGGGCAGCTGTGGCTACATTGTAGCTTACCACCATCAATGTTTGAATGTGTGTATGAATGAGTGTGAAAGGAATGTTCTGTGCTATTAACTGAATTCTGGATCCAGTCTTGTATTTTACACTTTATGATCACTGCAACCATATCCTTTTAACAGAGAAAGAAAGAGTAAGTCTCTATCAATGTGTCCCACTCTGGAACATCAACAAAGCTTGTTTTAATATCTGATGTAAAAGTTACCACCCCCCCAGGGGTGTGACCAGGAACTTAGGTATGTGACTTTAGGAGGGTGATCATTTATTTATTTATTTATTTTTAGTTCAGCCTGGGGCAGCTGCTGGGCTACTGCTAAGAGGGCTGTTATTGTTAGGATTCTGATAAGACCAAAGGCCTCAAACTCCCAGGCCTTGGCTGGAAGAGACAGGATGAAACAGACTGAAATGGAGTCTTTTAATAAAGATTTTTAGAAGGGAATCAACTTGTTCTCTGCAAACGTAATCTGACTTCCACTTATTGATGACATTGTTTCTTACAAATGAGTGACAATAGTGTAAAGTGCTTTGAAGTACTTGGACTTTAAAAAAGCACTATACAAGTTAAGATCATTTACCATTTATTCCATTATGCTTAAAAAATAAAATCATAAAAAATTGTATGCAAAATTAAACAATATGTAGTATGAAAAGACCACACAACAGCAAAATGGATGAGAATGTTAAAATCAGATTGATGGTAGTGATGGCTAGTGGCTGGATCACAGCAACTGCTATGAAGTTAAAAAAAAAATCAACCACAATGTGGAGGGTCTAATAGTAGTGGGTTCTCTGCTAACTCTAACCTTGATTGATAATAATTGTTCCACAGTAGATTCTGAGCATGCACAACATGTTCATGGCAATGTCTTGGTGGTTTATCTTTGAAGTGGAAGCATGTCAAGGTGCAGGGTGGAGAGTTGTGGCAGTGGTAGCCAAGGATCAGTGGCATTGAGGCCAAATGCACTGATGTGACTTGGTCATTAGAAATTTGAAGCAGGACTGGCTAGTCTGGTCTCATGTCAAGTCTATGACCAGTATTGTGACAAAGTTATTAAAACATAGTGCAAACTTGATACCCGTGTTGTTAGCATTGTGTTAGCGTAGCATGATGTTCATGTTTCATTCATAGTTGCATCTTGATGCACTCCTGAATAAGTTCTTGGCAACACATAAAATAGCATGAAAAACTTGTCTGACAAGTAGGGCCCTATTTCCACATGTGAAAAACTCAAAGGATATCACAAAATTTAACAAACAAAATGGAATGTACTGTAAAATGCGGAATCTCACAGAATTCATTTATTTGGGCAAGCAAGTGAAGTTTCTGAGGTATTTTAGCTGCTGCTGCTGCCCCTTGTACCTGCTGTTACCTAGATGTGTGCGAAGCAAAAGTATGAAGCTTCACACAAAGTTTATGGCAGAACAATACCCCAGTGATTTTTAAACATTGTAGACATCAACTTTACTGTAAGTTCTGTCAGCACATAATCGACTGGACGAGTAAGAATACACATGATGACCATTTCCAGTCAAAGACATGCATCAGAAATCGGAGAATCAAGTTACTGCAAGTCAGACACGCCTACAAACTCTTCAACAACCAGTTAAATCAGAAGTGAGGCATGTGTTTATCAAAGATTTTGTTGCTATGTGTGCAGAATCAGATATTCCTTTAAAAACAGCAAAAATGAAAAAAAAAATTGAATTCAATAAACAACTGTGCACAAATACTGATTTTAGGTTTAAAGTTTTTTATGACATTTTTATGCTAAGTTCAACTAATGAATTGTTATTGTGCAAAAGGATATATTTTCTATGTTTTGCACATACATGTTTTATTTTAATTTTTTAATAAAAACACAGGCCAATACTTTTAAAAATATTGCAAATGCATGCAATGTTCTGCTGAACTACAGCAATGTTGATTTTGTGAAAGTAAAATAAAACAGCCATTAAATCTCTGTGACAATTTATTTGTTAATTTATGTTTTGGTCACTTTATAATGACACATTTTTCAGGTTAATAAATATGGTTAGAATGAAAAGGATGGGATTCAGTAAAAGTTGCAAAAGCAGAATTTATAAAAATAAAAATGGAAAAAGTGGATTTTGGGGGGGAAATATAGATTTCACAGGTTCCTACAAGTACTAGGAGCATAGTGATGTCACGTTTGGCTTCACACTAAAGTAGGTTTTCTAAAACTTGCGGTGATTCAGCTACATTCTAACAGAATGTGTAGTTTGTAGAGGGTATAGTGGAGGATATAGTGGGTGGGGTCTTCATTCAGTGTGAAGTGGGGATTAAAGAAATGCTTATTCACTTATTGTCATCACTGTGGCAATCTGGTATATTTGCAAAATACCTGCCAAATTGATACTGCAGTGCAGACAGAGAACACAACACTTACTGTAACTGATTTACCACAGAGGTCACAGTAAGGCTGTAGTTTTAGCGTTTCATCTGCACTCTTTTTCTCAAGCCAGACTAGTGAAAACTGAGGAATTTACATAAATATTCACACACAAAAACCTCTTTATTGAATCCTCACACATTATTCACAAGCACAAATAAGTGAAGAATATTATTCTGTTACCTTGTTGGGATCACTAGCAGTGATGATCCAAACACACTGAGAGTTGCTCTCGTATTGGATGGGGAAGTTAGGAGACGTAAAAGTCCCCGACGGTCCCTGCAAATTCGACCCACACGTTTTCACTGTAACAGAAGACGAGAAAAATGAAATTATTTACTTTACTCACGTGGCAGTGCAAAACCAACAGGCTTGTCAAATGAATAAATTCTTAGAAATCACACAGCACTGTCAGGCATGTTTTTTATGCCTATGACAACAACTCCGCAAAAAACAGAACTAGAATCATAGAGAAATATTTTTAGTGATCCAAAGAGTAAAGAGGCATCATGGCCCTCACATCTAAATAACTATAAGTCTAAAACAGCTGTAGGAATTCTAAATAGTGTTCATGTTTTCTCCAAGATGCCTGGAACAACTGAGTAGAAAAGCTTTCTTGCTGTTATTGTAAAGAAACATAACCATTTTATGTACAGTATATAGTTATAGCTACAGTATAAGCTACTGTTTTACAAAGGAGAAACTAAAGTCCTTCTCCAACACACAATAAATATTGAAGGAAACGGTGCTCTCAAGGCAGAGTAATAACTTCTGCATTGTAATATGACTGAGAGGTAATGTATTGTTTGCACAAGTAGAGAGGAGGTCTATTAGCTGTATTTCCATTAATCAAATTGTAAAAGGTGCTCCAGGTATTATGAAACACAGAAAAATAGAGGGAAGCATTTTGGATTGGATATGTGCAGCAGCAGAGGCTTTCATGCATAATTAACAGAAATGAACTTTTCCTCTATCTGCATAGTGCCTATATCCAGAGGCACTGCCTTAATCAAACTGTTTTATTAGCTCCTCAGAAGCCACACTCACCCTTGCAGACGGGCCTGTGGTCGCTCCAAGCTGCGAAGACTTCGGCTACGCGCTGGCAGGTAATCGTTTTGGAACCCTGCAGCACATGGTCCTCATCACAGGTAAATTGAGCAGTTGCTCCGATGCTGAGGAGATAACAAATACCATTAGCACCAGAAAAAAGCAATCAATTCTTTCAAAGATGACTCCTGATGAAATATCATATTCTTTATTTATTTCATGTTACTCATGGACATGTTGAGGACATAAATGAGGCAGGTGACTACATTGCAGCGCTCACTTTCGATCAGTTGTAGAACTAAAGGTTTCTAAAGCCACACAATGAAGACACTACCACACATGTTTAAACATCTCTCTTTTTGGTGGCTTATATTGTAAAAATAAGTTACATCATAGTTTAATTTTATTTATAGATGATAAAGACTGCAAATGAAAAGGTCAAATACCTAGTGTGCGAGATCAAATATTAAATGTGTGATTGTATATTAAGATGACATCATTAGGCTCATACGGTCCTGCTAAAAACACCCCTGAGCTCATGCATTACCATTATCCTTCATGTACACTCATTTGATACTGTTTGTTTCAGGTAAAAAGCATCCAACCAACCTGAAGTCAGAACCAGTCCGTTTGCCATTCTCCGGCTCCCCCGGGTCGGGGCAATAATTAGACACCTGTTTGATCCCCCCTTCATTCACTGAGCACAAGAAAAGCCAAACATCAACCACTTGGATTTGTCAAAACTCTCTTGTAGTTTTGAAAAATCTGTAGTTTTAAAAAAACAACCCAGAAACGTAGCTATGTTGGGCTTAAGCAAAGAAACAGTCATCATCTCTAAATGTAAGACAGTGATTTGGCAGCACTGTAGTGAATTCACACATCTTTGGGAATAGAGTGAGCGCCAAGCTTCAATAGAACACTCATACCTGAGCTAACAAGGAAAACTCTACCTGAGGCCAAAGGGGGATTAAATAACTTTGAGTTATTGATTGTGGGAGCAAGAAAATCTTTCAGCCAGACTTTTCAAATATAGTAATAATTTGGTCAACTCGATAAAACTTTAAACATACAGTTTACATTGAATATTGTACTGAGAGTGTAGACAGGTGGATAAAACCAATACAATAAATATTTATGAGGGAACGCTGACTTGTTACAACATTAGACATCATTTGATAATTATTTACTTCAACTGTAAAACAAAGACTGTAAAAATTTAGGCTGTTTAGTTTTTATAAATTTGAAAGTAAATATTGTCACATAGATTCTTATTTAAACACTTATTTGTTTAACGTTTTGAAAAGGCATCACCCTTTGTATACACACACACACACACACACACACACACACATATATA